ACTTCAAAGGAAATATGTTTAAACGTGCTACAAATCCTTTAAGTTCCATAGCCATGGTTTTAATACTCTATGCATGAAAGGTTGGTGGCCTCAACATCTCCGTCCTCCACCCCCCCTCCCCACCCAGAAAAAAAACACCATCAAATGGTTAATTACAGTCAAGTAAAAGGCTGCTCATGTAATACTTTATATTGACTACTTGTACTTTCTGTTACGTAAAGACCTACATGCATTTTGCCTCTTTCCTCATTAGATGCCGCTCGATTTACTCTAAAAAATAACCAACCACAAATTAGTTTTCTTATGAAGAAAATCCACATTCAAATCCACATCCAGGGTAGCTCAGTTTGTAGTATATGACCCTTCAAAATACATTTTTATGAATTCGTCCTACATCCCAACATAAGGTCTTTAAGTGTAATGAATTGCATTAAAATGTTGTGAGATGAAAGTCTTCATTACTCCAAAAGTACTACCAACTTTTGAATTGACTTGTACTTTTGCGCCACTGCTGCGAGTCTATCGCAGGGTTACCTCCCAACATTTTATTCGTCAATACTCATTCATAGTCCTGGGTGGAGAGGGGCACTGTAGGAGTAATGAGTCTTGCCCAAGAACACAGCACAACGACCCTGCCAGGGCTAGAACCCAGACCGCTAGACCCGGGTCCAGCACATTAAACACCAGGCCATCACGTCTTATATCTCCATTGAAGAGGCACATTTCAAATAGCGAAATTATTATGCGGAATTAGCGTTTAAGACCCAAGTGATGAACTAAACGAATATGTGTCGCTCTAACAAGCTTACCTATCCCTTGTTTCAGTCCCTAAAAGGAGAAAAAATGAAATGATTAACACTTAATTAATTAATTAATGATTGATTGATTGATTGATTGATTGATTGATTGATTGATTGATTGATTTACTATTTAACTTCGCCTAGCTAAAATACTAGCTTATTTCGACAAAACTCATTAGGCAGGGAGACCACTACAGCGTAGCCAATTACAGTGGATCCCAGGGTACTGATAAGAATTAAACCTAGGCTACTCATATATAAACGAGGAGAATCAAAAGGAAACAAAAAAGTTCAGATTGTTAGAAACAGCACGACGGCGGGCAAAGAAGAGACCTCAGGTTGTTAATCAAGTTGGGACGAGAAAGGATGAAGAATTGGATGAGACTTCTCGTTACCCCTTCCTATATGAAATAAAAAATAGCTTAACTCATGCCAGGGGTCTCTGAACATGGCATTACGGGTAACGTTGGGTGTCAGTGTTGCAAGAAATGATGATGAAAGATTTAAAAGGCGTAAAAATCTTATAAACAAGAAAGAAAACAACAAAACCTCTCATACCTGACATAAACGCTTAGTGTCTTAGTTGTCTGGTTCAGTTATAACTTTTTTAGCAGTTACATCATATTTACATACAACACCATAGAAGATTAAATTCGGAGGTTTAGCAGAACTAAGAACGCATTATCAAGTGAAGTAGTCTGGAGGTCACCGTTAAGACTTACTCAGAGTATTTAGAATATTGTTTACCTTTCTTGCTAAGCCATAAGATGTAGACAACAAGAGCAATGATTATGACAACAAGGAGACCGATCACAACTCCCAATACGGTGCAGCTGCAAGCACAATCCCCGCACGCTTGAACTGTGAATAGTACAATAAAAAAGTCATCAGATCTAGATCTCTTTCAAAGCAAACGTATTTGACGTGCTTGTGTTAAACATGGCAGATATGTCTCACTGTCTTTCTATGACTGGCTAAATGACTGGCTGCCCGAGCCTGTCTTGCCATTATTTTGTCCTTTTGTCCATCAGTCCTTCCCTCTGTTTCTCTGTTATTGGTTGTTTTAAGCGAGACTGACAACAGCAAGGTCTAGCAGTGTATTACCCTTTGGTGCGATCTCGGTAAACACAAACCACTAGCCATAGTGCACTTTAAAAATCTATTAATTTTCTGAAAAACAGAAAAACAAATTCACAGGAATATAAATGATATGCTCTGGCAACATACTCTCAGATGAGCTGGTAGGTGTTGTGGCCATGGTGGTTGTTATCGCGGTGTCTCGTGTGCCTGTTATGGCCGTCACACGAAGATCTCCAAACTTTCCATTCTTTACAGCATCTCGAAGAATAGAAAGAACCTCGTTTTCTCTCACAGTGGAACTGAACTTCAGGGCCAAATCAACAATTACACTTCCACACCTTGGAAGAAGAAGGAAAAAGTTACGTTCAAACTGAACTAATGACCAAAAAGAAGAGGAAATTCTTTTCCTTCCTAAATTTTCAAATTTTCAAATCCCACACAAAACGAAGCATTTAAATAAATGAAGTGGACTTATTTTTATTTCTCTAGGTGATCGTTTGAATGTAAGTGTAATTAAGGATTTACACTACGAGTGATATTTGAAAATTCTCTCAAATTCTTTAGGCTCGTGCAATTTGAAAGAATTTTTCAAATATCAAGAGCAATGTAAATCTGCTAGAGCTTTCATACGATTACTCATTTATAACCTAACTGGGAAAATCACGAAAGCCCATGCTTTAATTTGCATTGCAGTGCAAAATAAAAATTAGCCATAAATTGGCCTGCTCTCAGCAAAGAAGTAATTTTTTCCAGTTATATAATAAGAGCTTGAGCAGGTATATTCGTTAATTAGAGTTCGTTTTCTGTCTGACGTCCCAGTGGATAAACAGATAAATTCGTAACCCGTTCGATTTTCGTGGTTACTGGCCTTAGCCAGCCACCACTGTGTCACCAGGTGTGTAAGTAAGATACTCCGTGACTTTTCGGAAGCTTCTGGAGATAACTTTCGAAGCCGAAAATATCTTGATATTTGCTAGAGTGAGATTTTGCTAATGAAAATAACTACTTTTTAATTGGTTCCATTTAATTGAACATAATATTTGGAGTGAAACAATGCGAGTTTACTAGCAGAAAAATAGCGTTACGGAGCGTTACGAATATCTACATCTCCAGCCGCTGACCGCACGTAGTCATAACGAAGGACATGGCAGGCGCCTTTTCCCACGCTTTGCGAGACGTGCCGATAAAACGTCTGAAAATTTTCTGCCCAAAAATTAAGTATAAAATGAAAAGTTACTTAAATTTTTAAAGATCAAGAAATCAATCTGAGACTGTCTGCATACCTGATACTTTTCAGTTGCACACTTTCATAACCCAGTTTACCAGCAAAGATCTCGTCCATCTAAAATAAACATTTTTAATGAACTATTATTAATATTCATTTTATAAATTTATAAAAGAGCTAATACTATGTATATGTTCAATATAAATTACCAAATACAAATGATTAAATGACACGTTCCGCTAAAAACTGCTAAAAGTGCTGCCAAGACAGATGATTGAATCTGTAATATAGCTTGCCGTAACAAAGCACAACATCGACAACTTCATTCCTTCGTTTCTTTAATTAACAGTGTCATGTTCCCTACACAATATTTCAACTATTCCTCAATTTGATTATGAACTCAATAATGCGGTTCAGCCCAAAGATTACAACTAACCCGCGAACCTCACAAAACAACTACCCTATATTAAAAAATAAGCGGACACCCTCTATTAAGGTAATTCCATCGAAATAGAACTAACAATAGATTTCCTTTCAAACTTTACCTGTTGGCTGATTCTATCAAGAGAACTTAAAATTTGAAATAAAAAAGAGGGGTTCCATATTCGTTTAGGAGCAGGAGGACCTTCAATAAACCTCATGATTGCTGAAATTATCTGCTTTAAGAAACGTTTATATCTGAACTATTCACCCTTCGCTTTAAGAGAGCAGAAAAATAGAAAAAAAGTAAAGCGAGAAATACAACAGTGGATACATTGCATAACTGTTAAGATGTAATTTGATGTACGTTTCATGATAAGGGCACTCATATTTAGTTGACAGGGATACACTATGTTCCATGCACGCAGTGTTCTGGGGCCACATATTATCATTTACGAGTGCTAGCTATGCTCTCATTTTCCCTGGTAATTTTTTGCTCTGCAATAGAAATTGGTCCATATTCACTGTATAGAAAGAAGGTGATCTCTGCATTCAAACTAAATAATAACAAGAAAAAATCGTTAGGTCCCGGTACTCGTTTCCGAGGAAAAAACGATGATTTGTCTCTCGCAAGCCAAGTCGTTTAGAAAAAGCCACCATTTTGTATATGTTGTGCATGTGCACGCGTTCGTGAGCGCGCACTAATGACGCGAAAA